TCTGTAGATATTGTTGCAAGTACATTAAACACAAACCGTTCCCTTCTAGGAACTTGACTAAAAATTTCTTTAAAAAATAATCAATTTACACTTTATTACAAATGCGATGACATTTTGTTACTATAAAAATATTTCATTTTTTATGATCTAGTTTCTTTTGCGCTGTATGCTGTGTACTTTTGTTCTAAACTTGTTTGTCGTTATATCAAATATTCATAAATATGATATTATCACTAGTAAACGATTTTTAGTCTGAAACGGTCATTTTGATCTGAACAGCTCTTAAAGGTCTGCAGAATAAATTATTAAGTCATTTTCAGTTTGTCAGTAAATTTTCAGACTTATCTACTGTGGCCAATTCAGTACTCATTTAAGTTCTCTCCAATGTATGTTCAGACTGCTCAAAAGTTGCTATATATCTATACAGTTCAACAAAATACTGAATTAGCTGAATAGCTATTGAACAGTACTGAATTGACTGCAATATAGCCATTTTTTTATTTTCAATTAATGTAATTTTGAGTTATGGTTATCATAATATATTTCTAAACATGCATTGAATCTTGCATTTTGACATCAAAAACTGTTTTATAAGGAAGAACGACTGAAAATGACATAACATAAGTTTATCGGCCACCATCACAAATTCGTTTACCGATACGATGTGTCGGTGTCTCAACCTACTAGCGACATGTATCGCGGTCTTGGATATCGAGATACCAGTAAAGTTGTAGTACCTCACCTGCCAAATGCAGTTTAGATAGTTAAAATACGAAGTCAGCAATATTTTTTTCATTTTAAGCGTAATTATTTCCTTACCTACGAATCACAAAATCAGTATCAAAACTGTTGCCGAGTATGGCTAATATACGAGAATGCTACTTGATAGCTATTGTTTTAAAAATATAACACGTACATGTTAAATAATAACTGTGTAATTGCTCCAAAAATAAAGATACTTCAGTTGCAAGTATAAATAAATATTAGAGAAAGTAAAGATCCACAATAAGCTTTGTTATTCTCGTAAAAATACCCAAGAAGTAATGTATTTAGATTACCAAGATTAAAAATCAAATTTACAAAGAATGTTTGTTTTTCTACTAAGTATAAGGACTGATATTGGATGGATACTTTTAATCCATCTGGTATTATCACATGGATATCCAGCAGGTCAACATGTAAAGGTTGATGAGAACTGTGCACTTTGTCTCTAAACAAATTTCAACTTACCTCCAAAGTACATAATGTATAAGAATTGTCATAACCAGAAACAAAATGGATACTCCACATCCTACGGCTGATATAAGGCTCAATGCAAAGTTGTGAGACAAAGGCTTGAAAAAAGAAAAATATCAAATCAGCGGTAAAATATGATTCTGACATCGACGTATATGAGGAGTAATGAACATCAACCTAACGATATAAAAACAAAACGATATAAATATGGTAACGTACATTCTTTTCTCTAAAACAGTTCGAAATTATTTGAAACTCTAATATAGAAATAAGGAGATTTGGTATGACTGCCAATAACACAATTATCTACCCAATGACGTGGACGAATGCAACTATAGGACACCGAACGGCTTTCAACAATTAACCAAACCGTTTAGGCAGCAATAAACAACTCCCCCTATGACATATTGTAAAACAATGAGAAAGAGGAAACCAACTTCATTTAAACTTTGGTGGATAGTTGTCTCATTGGCAATCATGCCACATATCCTTATTTATATTTTGACAAGTTGGCAACAATTAATGAAAAACAAATACGATAGACAGGCTAATGTTGTTCCACCCTGAGCATATATTTTTTAGTAGATTAGCTCAACTTTTTGGAATTTTTGTTTTTTTATTGCACTTCAACTTCCTATTTGATTTTGCATTCTTACTGTTTTGGTCAAGCGCCACTAATACGTCTTATGAGGACGAAACGCGCATTGAATATATCGAATTAAAAGCCTTGTATCTGTGAAGAGTCTTATTTCATCAGTAGATCTGTGTTAACAATATGTCAAAGTCTAAAAGATGTGAAAAAAATAATCAATTACTATAAAGATCAACACTAACATTTATAAGAAACAGTACGATATAATATAAGGCAAGTACTAACGAGGATCAATAATTTTATTACACATTTAATGCTAATTACAGTTTATAGAGGATACAAGCTTGACCAACTTCTTATGGTGAATATGGTCGTAATTTCTAATGGTTATTTCTCAGGGAACATCATGGAGGTGTATTACCACCATCTTTTTCCCCTGTTAGTCTTTGTTAAATTTGCACTTTTCAAAAAATTGTGCAGAATTAATCTTTGTTTTAAATAAAGAAATACTTGGCATGAGTAAAGTTTTATCCTGTCCAGTACTACAGACCAATTTCACATAACATTTCATTGCATATAAGATAATAACCATCACTGGAAGTTAACCAATCAAATATCCAACCTTTTCTTTCCTGTTTAAAAGCTTTAGTAACCATGTAACCTCAAGTTTCCAAAATAATTTTTACTGCAATGAAATTTAGGATTAATTTCTAACAACTGTCAAATTCAAGGAATATTTTTTTCGACCCTTTTTCGTATGCAACCGGATGTGACGTACTATGATTTGGTGGTATTACATCTGGAACGCACAACTTTTCGATGTGAAACATATTACAAAGTGGTTACTATTATGACGCCAGATAGTACATTCGAATAAATATTTTCAGTAAGCAATATGATATGAAGCTTGTTGATTACAAAAGATAGAAAAAAAAGATTGTTAAAAATCAAAATTGACACTTCCCAGTGGATAAGAGACTAAATGATTGTTCTGTTACTAAACTGTTGTAGAAAACAACAGCCAAGTTATCAATGTTACATGTTCAGTAGAAAAAAGTGAAAAAATGAAGTAAACTAACAATCCATTTCTTTAGTACTGAAACTGTACCAGTGTGTTACTTTATTTGTATCAATCGTAATTTCATATAAATGTAAGTTAGTTATTTTTGAAATGTTATATGGTCAAGGCTAGGCTTTCATACTATTGCCTATAAAAAGCCTTCTATATTTATAATATATGTGAAGTTTCAATGGGAGATCAACTGATGTCATACTTCCCCTTTTTATATGAAATTAGACTGTCTTATTTCCCGTTTAATTAATGAAAACGTATTTCGGCAAAACATTTATTTTCACTGAGTATCTGCGATCTTATTTAGAAGCCAACTCTACAATATGTTAAGTAAAATCCCACTTTAGAAAATATTATTAAAAAACTGTACTTGTTTATATCATTGAAATATTTCTATCTTTCCGTTCAAATGACTTCAGACTAAATGTGTATACAAATTAAAAACCAATTGTTCAAAGAACAATTGAAGGTCTTTCCACATCAATTTTTTAAATAATTGATGAGAAGCTAATTCTGGTTTACTCAAAGCTACTACTGGCGTCCAATCATAGGTTTCTTCATGCTGATTCAATAAACATATGGTTTCTATAGACTTTTGCCTGAAATAAGGGAGATAATTGGCTACTTCCGGTTTAGAAAATGTCATTTCCGGTCTCATATGATATATTTATTTACACTGATTCCAAAAATAAATGGTTTATATATACTTTTGCCTGTAAAAAGAGAGATAATTGGCTACTTCCGGTTTAGTAAATGTCACTTTCGGTCTCATATGATAGCTTTATTTACACTGATTCCAAAAATATATGGTTTCTATGTACTTCTACATGAAATAAGTGCAAAAACGACTAGTTTCGGTTCACTCAAGGTCACTTCCGGTTGACATTTTTCAAGGTCATATGTCACCCAACATTTTGCAAAAGATCTTATGACTTTATCATGTACCAATATGAAGTAATAATCAATTTACCTTAAAATAAAACATTTCAGGGGCAATAACTCCAATAAGATGTCGCTGGATTGTCTCAGACCAAATGTATCATATCTTCATCACAATATAACAAACATTTTGCACTTGTTCTTTAATATATAACATTAACAATATCGGAGAAAATGCAAAAACAAGCAAAAGACAAAATTCAGAACATGACCTTGACCTTTGACCTTGACCTCATTTTCGAAGTTAGGATCCAAGGACCTTAAATAAAAAGACTAGGTTTATACGGCTGACAGTTTATGAATAACAAAAACATAACGACAAATTTATTTGATAAAGGTAGATAACTCCTATAAAATTTCATCGAATCGCTTCGATCCAAATTAGCCAAAAATTTCTGAGGATGTAACGAACAATTTAGAAAAAGAATTTTGTCGATATCTTTTTTTGTTACGAAGGATATGCACACACTTGATAAACAGTGAATAGGGAGATAACTCTTACAAAGATAATTGTTCGGCTGAGCAGGAAGAAATTTAAAAAGAACAAAATTTGGCGGAAGAAAAAAAAAAAAAAAAATAATAATAATAATTAAAAACCAATTGTTCAAAGAACAATTAAAGGTCTTTCCACATCAATTTTCTAAATGATTGATGAGAAGCTAATTCTGGTTTACTCAAAGCTACTATTGGCGTCCAATCATAGATTTCTTCATACTGATTCAATAAACATATGGTTTCTATAGACTTTTGCCTGAAATAAGGGAAAAAATTGTCAACATCCGGTTTAGAAAATGTCACTTCCGGTCTCATATGATAGCTTTATTTACACTGATTCCAAAAATATATGGCTTATATATACTTTTGCCTGTAAAAAAGGAGATAATTGGCTACTTCCGGTTTAGAAAATGTCACTTTTGGTCTCATATGATAGATTTATTGACACTGATTCCAAAAATAAATGGTTTATATATACTTTTGCCTGTAAAAAGGGAGATAATTGGCTACTTCCGGTTTAGTAAATGTCACTTTCGGTCTCATATGATAGCTTTATTTACACTGATTCCAAAAATTTATGGTTTATATATACTTATGCCTGTAATAAGGGAGAAAAAATGCCACTTCCGGTTTATTAAATTTAACTTCCGGTATCAAATGATAGACTAATGTATGACCATTCAAAAAATATATGGTTTCTATGTACTTCTACATGAACTAAGTGCAAAAATGACTTCTTCCGGTTCACTCAAGGTCACTTCCGGTTGACATTTTTCAAGGTCACATGTCACCCAACATTTCGCAAAAGATCTTATGGCTTTATCATGTACCAATATGAAGTAATAATCAATTTACCTTAAAATAAAACATTTCAGGGGCAATAACTCCAATAAGATGTCGCTGGATTGTCTCAGACCAAATGTATCATATCTTCATCACAATATAACAAACATTTTGCACTTGTTCTTTAATATATAACATTAAAAATATCGGAGAAAATGCAAAAACAAGCAAAAGACAAAATTCAGAACATGACCTTGACCTTTGACCTTGATCTCATTTTCGAAGTTAGGATCCAAGGACCTTAAATAAAAAGACTATAGGTTTATACAGCTGACAGTTTATGAGTAACAAAAACATAACGAAAAATTTATTTGATAAAGGAAGATAACTCCTATAAAATTTCATCTAATTGCTTCGATCCAAAATAGCCAAAAATTCCTGAGGATGTAACGAACAATTTAGAAAAAGAATTTTGTCGATATCTTTTTTTGTTACGAAGGAGATGCACACACTTGATAAACACTTACAAAGATAATTGTTCAGCTTAGCAGGGTGAAATTTAAAAGCGCATAAACTATACGATACAATATGAGAAATATCTAAGCGACATATTGCGAAACAAATATTTATCGCAAGAACAAAATTTGGGGGAAGAAAAAAAAAAGATAATAATTAAAAACCAATTGTTCAAAGAACAATTGAAGGTCTTTCCACATCAATTTTCTAAATGATTGATGAGAAGCTAACTCTGGTTTACTCAAAGCTACTATTGGCGTCTAATCATAGGTTTCTTCATATTGATTCAATAAATATATGGTTTCTATAGACTTGAGCGTGAAATAAGGGAGATAATTGTCAACTTCCGCTTTTGAAAATGTCACTCCCGGTCTCATATGATAGCTTTGTTTACACAAATTCCAAAAATATATGGTTTATATATACTTTTGCCTGTAAAAAGGGAGATAATTGGCCACTTCCGGTTTAGAAAATGTCAATTTCGGTCTCATATGATTGCTTTATTTACACTGATTCCAAAAATATATGGTTTATATAAACTTATACCTGTAATAAGGGAGATAATATGCTACTTCCGGTTTATAAAATATCACTTCCGGTCTCAAATGATAGATCAATGTATGATCATTCAAAAAATATATGGTTTCTATGTACTTCTACATGAAATAAGTGCAAAAATGACTACTTCCGGTTCACTCAAGGTCACTTAAGTTGACATTTTTCAAGGTCATATGTCACCCAACATTTTGCAAAAGATCTTATGGCTTTATCATGTACCAATATGAAGTAATCAATTTACCTTAAAATAAAACATTTCAGGGGCAATAACTCCAGTAAGATGTCGGTGGATTGTCTCAGACCAAATGTATCATATCTTCATCACAATATAACAAACATTTTGCACTTGTTCTTTAATATATAACATTAAAAATATCGGAGAAAATGCAAAAACAAGCAAAAGACAAAATTCAGAACATGACCTTGACCTTTGACCTTGATCTCATTTTCGAAGTTAGGATCCAAGGACCTTAAATAAAAAGAGTATAGGTTTATACAGCTGACAGTTTATGAGTAACAAAAACATAACGAAAAATTTATTTGATAAAGGAAGATAACTCCTATAAAATTTCATCTAATCGCTTCGATCCAAAATAGCCAAAAATTCCTGAGGACGTAACGAACAATTTAGAAAAAGAATTTTGTCGATATCTTTTTTTGTTACGAAGGAGATTCACACACTTGATAAACAGTGAATAGGGAGATAACTCTTACAAAGATAATTGTTCAGCTTAGCAGGGTGAAATTTAAAAGCGCATAAACTATACGATACAATATGAGAAATATCTAAGCGACATATTGCGAAACAAATATTTATCGCAAGAACAAAATTTGGGGGAAGAAAAAAGAAAAAAATAATAATTAAAAACCAATTGTTCAAAGAACAATTGAAGGTCTTTCCACATCAATTTTCTAAATAATTGATGAGAAGCTAACTCTGGTTTACTTAAAGCTACTATTGGCGTCTAATCATAGGTTTCTTCATATTGATTCAATAAATATATGGTTTCTATAGACTTGAGCGTGAAATAAGGGAGATAATTGTCAACTTCCGCTTTTGAAAATGTCACTTCCGGTCTCATATGATAGCTTTGTTTACACAAATTCCAAAAATATATGGTTTATATATACTTTTGCCTGGAAAAAGGGAGATAATTGGCCACTTCCGGTTTAGAAAATGTCAATTTCGGTCTCATATGATTGCTTTATTTACACTGATTCCAAAAATATATGGTTTATATAAACTTATACCTGTAATAAGGGAGATAATATGCTACTTCCGGTTTATAAAATATCACTTCCGGTCTCAAATGATAGATCAATGTATGATCATTCAAAAAATATATGGTTTCTATGTACTTCTACATGAAATAAGTGCAAAAATGACTACTTCCGGTTCACTCAAGGTCACTTAAGTTGACATTTTTCAAGGTCATATGTCACCCAACATTTTGCAAAAGATCTTATGGCTTTATCATGTACCAATATGAAGTAATCAATTTACCTTAAAATAAAACGTTTCAGGGGCAATAACTCCAGTAAGATGTCGCTGGATTGTCTCAGACCAAATGTATCATATCTTCATCACAATATAACAAACATTTTGCACTTGTTCTTTAATATATAACATTAAAAATATTGGAGAAAATGCAAAAACAAGCAAAGGACAAAATTCAGAACATGACCTTGACCTTTGACCTTGACCTCATTTTCGAAGTTAGGATCCAAGGACCTCAAATAAAAAGACTATAGGTTTATACGGCTTACAGTTTATGAGTAACAAAAACATAACGACAAATTTATTTCATAAAGGTAGATAACTCCTATAAAATTTCATTGAATCGCTTCGATCCAAATTAGCCAAAAATTCCTGAGGATGTATCGAACAATTTAGACAAAGAATTTTGTCGATATCTTTTTTTCTTACGAAGGAGATGCACACACTTGATAAACAGTGAATAGGGAGATAACTCTTACAAAGATAATTGTTCAGCTTAGCAGGGTGAAATTTAAAAGCGCAAAAACTATACGATACAATATGAGAAATATCTAAGCGACATATTGCGAAACAAATATTTATCGCAAGAACAAAATTTGGCGGAAGAAAAAAAAAAATTATAATAATAATCAGAACAAATACAATAGGTCTTTCCACAGAAAAGTGGAAAGACTTAATTATTAAAAACCAATTGTTCAAAGAATAATTGAAGGTCTTTCCACATCAATTTTCTAAAAAAATTGATGAGAAGCTAATTCTGGTTTACTCAAAGCTACTATTGGCGTCCAATCATTGGTTTCTTCATATTGATTCAATAAATATATGGTTTCTATAGACTTTAGCGTGAAATAATGGAGATAATTGTCAACTTCCGCTTTTGAAAATGTCACTTCCGGTTTCATATGATAGCTTTGTTTACACTGATTCCAAAAATATATGGTTTATATATACTTTTGCCTGTAAAAAGGGAGATAATTGGCTACTTCCGGTTTAGAAAATGTCACTTCCGGTCTCATATGATAGCTTTATTTACACTGATTCCAAAAATATATGGTTTATATATACTTATACCTGTAATAAGGGAGATAATATGCTACTTCCGGTTTATAAAATATCACTTCCGGTCTCAAATGATAGGTCAATGTATGATCATTCAAAAAATATATGGTTTCTATGTACTTCTACATAAAATAAGTGCAAAAATGACTACTTCCGGTTCACTCAAGGTCACTTAAGTTGACATTTTTCAAGGTCATATGTCACCCAACATTTTGCAAAAGATCTTATGGCTTTATCATGTACCAATATGAAGTACTAATCAATTTACCTTAAAATAAAACATTTCAGGGGCAATAACTCCAGTAAGATGTCGCTGGATTGTCTCAGACCAAATGTATCATATCTTCATCACAATATAACAAACATTTTGCACTTGTTCTTTAATATATAACATTAAAAATATTGGAGAAAATGCAAAAACAAGCAAAAGACAAAATTCAGAACATGACCTTGACCTTTGACCTTGACCTCATTTTCGAAGTTAGAATCCAAGGACCTCAAATGAAAAGACTATAGGTTTATTCGGCTTACAGTTTATGAGTAACAAAAACATAACGACAAATTTATTTCATAAAGGTAGATAACTCCTATAAAATTTCATTGAATCGCTTCGATCCAAATTAGCCAAAAATTCCTGAGGAGGTAACGAACAATTAAGAAAAAGAATTTTGTCGATATCTTTTTTTGTTACGAAGGAGATGCACACACTTGATAAACAGTGAATAGGGAGATAACTCTTACAAAGATAATTGTTCAGCTTAGCAGGGTGAAATTTAAAAGCGCAAAAACTATACGATACAATATGAGAAATATCTAAGCGACATATTGTGAAACAAATATTTATCGCAAGAACAAAATTTGGCAGAAGAAAAAAAAAAATTATAATAATAATCAGAACAAATACAATAGGTCTTTCCACAGAAAAGTGGAAAGACTTAATTATTAAAAACCAATTGTTAAAAGAACAATTGAAGGTCTTTCCACATCAATTTTCTAAAAAATTGATGAGGAGCTAATTCTGGTTTACTCAAAGCTACTATTGGCGTCCAATCATAGGTTTCTTCATATTGATTCAAAAAATATATGTTTTCTATAGACTTTAGCGTGAAATAAGGGAGATAATTGTCAACTTCCGCTTTTGAAAATGTCACTTCCGGTTTCATATGATAGCTTTGTTTACACTGATTCCAAAAATATATGGTTTATATATACTTTTGCCTGTAAAAAGGGAGATAATTGGCTACTTCCGGTTTAGAAAATGTCACTTCCGGTCTCATATGATAGCTTTATTTACACTGATTCCAAAAATATATGGTTTATATATGCTTATGCCTGTAATGAGGGAGATAATATGCTACTTCCGGTTTATAAAATATCACTTCCGGTCTCAAATGATAGATCAATGTATGACCATTCAAAAAATATATGATATCTATGTACTTCTACATGAAATAAGTGCAAAAATGACTACTTCCGGTTCACTCAAGGTCACTTCCGGTTGAAATTTACCAAGGTCATATGTCACCCAACATTTTGCAAAAGATCTTATGGCTTTATCATGTACCAATATGAAGTAATAATCAATTTACCTTAAAATAAAACATTTCAGGGGCAATAACTCAAATAAGATGTCGCTGGATTGTCTCAGACCAAATGTATCATATCTTCATTACAATAAAGCAAACATTTTGCACTTGTTCTTTTACATATATCTTTAAAAGTGTTTGAGAAAATGCAAAAACAAGGAAAAGTCAAAATTTAGAACTTGACCTTGACCTTTGACCTTGACTTCATTTTCTAAGTTGGGACCTAGGGGCCTCATATAAAAACATTCCAGTTTATACAGTTAAAGGTTTATGAGATAAAAAAACATACCGACAAATTTTTTTGGTAAAGGTAGATAACTCCTTTAAAATTTCATCGAATCGCTTCGATCCAAATAAGCCAAAAATTCCTGAGGATGTTGCAAACAATTTAGAAAAAAGAATTTTGTCGATATCTTTTTTTGTTACGAAGGAGATGCACACACTTGATAAACAGTGAATAGGGAGATAACTCTTACAAAGAAAATTGTTCGTCTAAGCAGGGTGAAATTTAAAAGCGCATAAACTATACGATACAATATGAGAAATATCTAAGCGACATATTGCGAAACAAATATTTATCGCAAGAACAAAATTAGGCGGAAGACAAAAAAAAAAAAATAATAATAATTAAAAACCAATTGTTCAAAGAACAATTGAAGGTCTTTCCACATCAATTTTCTAAATAATTGATGAGAAGCTAATTCTGGTTTACTCAAAGCTACTATTGGCGTCCAATCATAGGTTTCTTCATACTGATTCAATAAACATATGGTTTCTATAGACTTTTGCCTGAAATAAGGGAGATAATTGTCAACTTCCGGTTTAGAAAAATAACACTTCCGGTCTCATATGATAGCTTTAATTACACTGATTCCAAAAATATATGGTTAATATATACTTTTGCCGGTAAAAAGAAAGATAATTGGCTACTTCCGGTTTAGAAAATGTCACTTCCGGTCTCATATGATAGATTTATTTACACTGATTCCAAAAATATATGGTTTATATATACTTTTGCCTGTAAAAAAGGGAGATAATTGGCTACTTCCGGTTTAGAAAATGTCACTTTCGGTCTCATTTGATAGCTTTAATTACACTGATTCCAAAAATATATGGTTTATATATACTTATGCCTGTAATAAGAGAGATAATATGCTACTTCCGGTTTATAAAATATCACTTCCGGTCTCAAATGATAGATTAATGTATGACCATTCAAAAAATATATGGTTTCTATGTACTTCTACATGAAATAAGTGCAAAAATGACTACTCCCGGTTCACTCAAGGTCACTTCCGGATGACATTTTTCAAGGTCATATGTCACCCAACATTTTGCAAAAGATCTTATGGCTTTATCATGTACCAATATGAAGTAATAATCAATTTACCTTAAAATAAAACATTTCAGGGGCAATAACTCCAATAAGATGTCGCTGGATTGTCTCAGACCAAATGTATTATATCTTCATCACAATATAACAAACATTTTGCACTTGTTCTTTAATATATAACATTAAAAATATTGGAGAAAATGCAAAAACAAGCAAAAGACAAAATTCAGAACATGACCTTGACCTTTGACCTTGACCTCATTTTCGAATTTAGGATCCAAGGACCTTAAATAAAAAGACTATAGGTTTATACGGCTTACAGTTTATGAGTAACAAAAACATAACGACAAATTTATTTGCTAAAGGTAGATAACTCCTATAAAATTTCATTGAATCGCTTCGATCCAAATTAGCCAAAAATTCCTGAGGATGTAACGAACAATTTAGAAAAAGAATTTTGTCGATATCTTTTTTTGTTACGAAGGAGATGCACACACTTGATAAACAGTAAATAGGGAGATAACTCTTACAAAGATAATTGTTCGGCTTAGCAGGGTAAATTTTAAAAGCGCATAAACTATACGATACAATATGAGAAATATCTAAGCGACATATTGCGAAACAAATATTTATCGCAAGAACAAAATTTGGCGGAAGAAAAAAAAAAAAAATAATAATAATTAAAAACCAATTGTTCAAAGAACAATTGAAGGTCTTTCCACATCAATTTTCTAAATAATTGATGAGAAGATAATTCTGGTTTACTCAAAGCTACTATTGGCGTCCAATCATAGGTTTCTTCATACTGATTCAGTAAACATGGTTTCTATAGACTTTTGCCTGAAATAAGGGAGATAATTGTCAACATCCGGTTTAGAAAATGTCACTTTCGGTCTCTTGTGATAGCTTTATTTACACTGATTCGAAAAATATATGGTTTATATATACTTTTGCCTGTAAAAAGGGAGATAATTGGCTACTTCCGGTTTAGAAAATGTCACTTCCGGTCTCATATGATAGATTTATTTACACTGATTCCAAAAATATATGGTTTATATATACTTTTGCCTGTAAAAAGGGAGATAATTGGCTACTTCCGGATTAGAAAATGTCACTTTCGGTCTCATATAGCTTTATTTACACTGATTCCAAAAATATATGGTTTATATATATTTTTGCCTGTAAAAAGGGAGATAATACGCTACTTTCGGTTTATAAAATATCACTTCCGGTCTCAAATGATAGATTAATGTATGACCATGCAAAAAATATATGGTTTCTATGTACTTCTACATGAAATAAGTGCAAAAATGACTACTTCCGGTTCACTCAAGGTCACTTCCGTTTGACATTTTTCAAGGTCATATGTCACCCAACATTTTGCAAAAGATCTTATGGCTTTATCATGTACCAATATGAAGTAATAATCAATTTACCTTAAAATAAAACATTTCAGGGGCAATAACTCCAATAAGATGTCGCTGGATTGTCTCAGACCAAATGTATCATATCTTCATCACAATAAAACAAACATTGTGCATTTGTTCTTTAATATATAACATTAAAAATATCGGAGAAAATGCAAAAACAAGCAAAAGACAAAATTCAGAACATGACCTTGACCTTTGACCTTGACCTCATTTTCGAAGTTAGGATCCAAGGACCTTAAATAAAAAGACTATAGGTTTATACGGCTTACAGTTTATGAGTAACAAAAACATAACGACAAATTTATTTGATAAAGGTAGATAACTCCTATAAAATTTCATCGAATCGCTTCGATCCAAATTAGCCAAAAATTCCTGAGGATGTAACGAACAATTTGTAAAAAGAATTTTGTCGATATCTTTTTTTGTTACGAAGGAGATGCACACAGATGATAAACAGTGAATAGGGAGATAACTCTTACAAAGAAAATGGTTCGGCTTAGCAGGGTGAAATTTAAAAGCGCATAAACTATACGATACAATATGAGAAATATCTAAGCGACATATTGCGAAACAAACATTTATCGCAAGAACAAAATTTGGCGGAAGAAAAAAAAAAAAAAATAATAATAATAATCAGAACAAATACAATAGGTCTTTCCACAGAAAAGTGGAAAGACCTAATAATAATAATAATCAGAACAAATACAATAGGTCTTTACACCGAAAAGTGGAAAAACCTAATAATCAGAACAAATACAATAGGTCTTTCCACAGAAAAGTGGAAAGACCTAATAATCAGAACAAATACAATAGGTCTTTCCACAGAAAAGTGGAAAGACCTAATAATAATAATCAGAACAAATACAAAAGGTCTTTCCACAGAAAAGTGGAAAGACCTAATAATAATAATAATAATCAGAACAAATACAATAGGTCTTTCCACCGAAAAGTGGAAAGACCTAATAATAAAATGCACTTTGATAGTAAACATAGGTATTCCTATTGGCACTAACTGCGCCATTTTAATAGCAGATTTATTCCTGTATTGCTATGAATCTCAATAAGAAAAAAAAACCAAAAGAACAACAGGTACACTGAAGTGCAACAAAAACAAACGCCAACATACATAGAAACGAACTGTTTGATAACAACTGCCGTATTCCTGACTCAGTAAAGACACGTCATTGTTACATTTTGTTGATAAATTCAACAATACCTACCGTTATCTTGATGATATTTTTTCGTTAAATAATCTTAAATAAGCGCAGAAATCACTATGTGATCCGTGTAAACTAATCGAATCTATAAACAAACTTATTAGTAAAGGTTATCTTACCAATGTTGTAATTAGATCTTTGAATATAGTTTACATTGGCACAAATATCGATTTTATCATCAGCAAATTAAAATATAACTAAATTTGTATTCTTTTCAAACGTTTGTTTTTGGGATGTATAAATACACATTCACGTTCATTTTCTTTATAGAGATTACTCTATCTATATATAACATTATACACATTTATTAAAAGGTTAACTCTTAACTATCCTACTGCCTGTCGCGATACTTTTATTTTGGCATTGCACAAGTCATATCTTCTTTGACTGTCCATGACGTTAAAACACTAAATCCCTGGGATATGTTTTAGTTGATTTTAGTCTCTGATGCATGATTTTTTAATTCTTAATTGTTTTTGGCTTTTTACTAGCTTTCAGTAACTGCGAGTACTCTCAAATCGTACTTTCGTGTTAATTTGACCTGTTCATACAATTTGTAATGCATTTTTGTTATTTAATGTTTACTTATTTAGTGTTATATCTCGTCTCACAATTTTTTAATATATACAACCTTTGATAAGTGTTTGGTATGACGATAATTTTTCACTTCTGTGCTCGTACTATGAACAACAAAATTATTTATTTTGTAAAAAAATATTTCCATACTCCATGTATACCTTGCAACAAAATTATTTTTATTTACCTCTGTACGTTATTTTATTTGGCGGCATTTTGTCCAAGTTTATGGTTGTCTTTTTGATATTGTTTTACATCTAACCCCCTTGTTTTATTAATTTTGTACGAATAAATTTGATCTATGACACAATGTAAATACAAAATTATAGGCCCTTTATAGCTTGCTGTTCGGTGTGAGCCAATGCTCCGTGTTGAAGGCCGTACTTTGACCTATAATGATTTATTTTTACAAATTGTGACTTGGATGGAGAGTTGTCTCATTGGCACTCATACCACATCTTCTTATATCTATATATGAAGTAGAATTCTAAGCTTATAGGATTGTATGACATAAACTGTGTCTTTCTAACATTGATGACCTGATTGTGGTTCTTCTACAGCAAGTTAGTAAAACATTTAACCAACAATGAGCAAAACCCATACCGCACAGTCAGCTATAAAATGCCCCATAATGACAAATGTAAAACAATTCAAACGAGAAAAACTAACTGCCTAATTTATGGACAAAATAAGTAATGAAAAACAAATATATTACACAGCAACAAATGACAACCACTGAATCACAGTCCTGACTTGGGACAGGCACATACAGAATGTGGCGGGGTTCAACACGTTTGAAGGTGCCAATCCTTTCCTAACCTGGGACAGTGGTGTTACAGTACAACATAACAACAAACTATAAAAATCAGTTGAAAAATGCTTACCTCATCAGATGGATGTCTACATCCTTACTAATATGAGAATACTAACTGCATTTATCGTACTATAAATTGAAAATATGTATTAATGATTTCTTACTATACACTGAAATAAGTTATGAAGACTAACTAAATCAACATACTATTCTTCCTGGGCTCATGAGTATTGCAAAATTTGTGGTGTGATTATATTCACATATCGTATACGAATCTGTTGACTCTACAATTCGTGAACCAAAGTTCGACCATGCTCCGTTTACAGTATTCCTAAAACATATTTGATATTATTGGTATTGGGAAAAGTTGTAAAACTACATAATAATTCTGTATCTTTTAATTTCCTTCACAGGCTATAACCTCGCTTTTATACTTTTTAAAAAAGTATAATTGTGAAACTTATATTTTCTGTGTGCACATGGAACATTTTTACGTCGAAATGTTTTACTTAAGAGATGATATGTATCTTATATGAAAGACTTGAATTTCATGAGATTCTTATAAAATTTTACATAATTCTTTTGAATAAGAGAAGGATAAGAATAACTAAATTAGGAAACAACTACAACTTAATAAAAAGTTAAAAGACTTACATCAAAAAGGCAGTTTAAAGTCTTATTTGAAAGTCCAAAACTTAAATAATAAAAAAAAAATAATGATACTCTACTCCTTTTCAAGATACAAACATATTAAACTTTATACTTACGGAACACCGAAATCCCAAAATCCACAGAAAGGTTTGGAATAATTTCCCTTGCAAAATAATGTATCAAAATGAACCATGGTTCTTGATCATAATCTCAGCAATTTAAATTTTATGTATGTTACAATTCAATCATCCGCTGACTTTTGTTCTAGTATTGCAATTGAATAACAGAATAAAAGCAATGATAAAAGCATATTTCATCTTTTCTTGTATTCATTGGTATGTTGCCGGAAATTTTAAATGGATGACTATGCATCCGTAGAAGACTAATAATGTCAATTAGAAAACTCATGAAAGTTTAAATAAACAACAGTCAATTGTCAGACAAAAAAATGTCTATTACTTAAAGAAGCGCCGAACTTTTATGCGATCAAAAGCACTGTACAACGTTTAGTATTTCTTCGGATTGTGTGTTACATTTTTTTTTGGTTTCATCACTCCCGGGAAAAAGTGACCTGATTATGCATTAAAAAAAGCGTGCACATAGCTTCTTTGAGTAACTTTAGTCGAAACATTTATAATTATTCGACTTTCTTTACTACCTGAAGACTTAAAAAATTAAAATGACTGAGGGAAATAACAATTTTATAGAAGGTGAAAAATCCTGTCAACAAGTACCTGTGGTGTAGTTTACACCATAATGTGAATTTTAGGTGTTTGTGTTCAGCTTTAGCTTTGAACTGTTTTGTTTTTGTTCAGCTTTAGCTTTAAACTGTTTTGATCCTTGCATCACTGATGTGTTGTTGTAGACGAAACACGCATGTAGCGTACCAAATGATAAGCCTGATATCTTTGACGAGTTAGACTTTTCAATATCCGTGAAATTTAAGCTCGTGGATCATGATAATAAATATAAGCAGATTAATTTTGATAATTGTTTTCATAATCATAAGTTTTTAATAGCCGCAATAGACATGTTAAAAGGTACGCATATTTATTCGGTGTGACGTCACATGTTTGTTGAACCTATAAGTATTTAAAATGCAAGTAAACTTATTCATTATTAAAATATTTCAATTAAAGTTCCAACTCCCAATGTTGACCTCAGGGAGATTTGGCCATTTTTATTTGGATGCTTTTGTCATGTAGCTTCTCAATTTTTCGACCTTTTGACAATTGCGTTCCTGGTCAAGGTAAACCCCTAAAAAGCGAATTGACACACAAAATTCAGAAAGTGTTATTTTCATAAAAATTATTCATTAGTTTGCGTTATTATATATGCCACTTGAAGGTGCCCTCAATGTTGTTTGTACCAGTGGTAAAGTAACACAATCCATGCGCGTAAGAACACAAGCAAGAAACAAAAATGAATGAAAAGTGTTACACTGTCATAGCTGTTTGCAACTGGCAATGTTTTTACGAACCCCAATAGTTTTAGAAGAAATTTTCACAAACAAGGAAAAAACAACAGAAAAATAAAATCACGTTTTATCAAAATTAGCACAACTTACTAATAAATTTTCAAATTTTATAATCAAGGTATGATCTGAAGAAGCTGTTGATTGGATTGTAAAATCAGTTATGATAGAATTTACATCGTAACGTCCATTAAATGACTGCAATTCCCTGTAAATGGAATAATTAAGTTATAAGACTGTGAAATAACGTATTTTCCCGGATGGTGTTATTCTATAAAAATATGTAAGCACCAAGCTACCAACATGACCAAGATGTTTTCAATCATAAATGACAAACAAGCATCTTAACATGATGAACTTTTATACAGTGAACATTTTTGGTTAGTTTTGATAGAATTAAAGTCATAATCTAAATCAAAATATGTAATGCAATAAAGATATAATATTATGATAGATCTACAATCAGAAAATATGACTCACCCATTTAGCATCAAGTACTTTGGAAAGAATCTTGAAATATTTCGATAGAATGTGCAACTATATCCTGTCAAATCTATAAAAAAAAAACATTGACATTTTATTTTATTTCATTTCGTCTGCTTTACGCACTAGTCAAAAACAAAGAAAAACAAGTAAGAATGTCACGACACCGATTTACAAACTTTTCTTTAATCGCAATTATTATTGCAA